ACGTACAGTATCGGTCATATCTATGGCACGCCATTTCAAAGTGATATTGTGTGCCACTTATGTTTATTTATTAATTTTTAAGAATTTTCAATTAAAATATAGTTCATTCTCAGACAAACCCGATACAAACCCAAGCTTAATAATTTGTAGAAAGCTACAAAAAGTGCAACAAATTTTCACATAAATTTCAAACTTTTTTCTCGGAAGTGTTAGAATTTTTTTGAGTACACAGTTTTTAGCTCCTTCAATTTTAGTCTGATAATGTGGAAATTTGAAGTGGCTACAAAAAATTCTAAAAAATCAACGGAAACTTTTAGCCACCTGAAACTTGCACATTATCAGACTAAAATTGAAGGGGCTAAAAAACTGTGTACTCAAAAAAATTCTTACACTTCCGAGAAAAAAGTTTGAAATTTAGGTGAAAATTTGTTGCACTTTTTTGTAGTTTTCTACAAATTGTTACACTTGGGTTTATATGGGGTTTGTCTGAGGATGAACTGTATTTTAATTGAAAATTCTTAACAATAAATAAATAAACATAAGTGGCACACAATATCACTTTGAAATGGCGTGCTATAGATATGACCGATACTGTACATACTCAAATTTAAATCGAGTTGGGTTGGTGCTCTTTCATATGCGTATTTTTTTAATTTAGCACATTTTTTTTAATTCTAAAATTCCCTCAGTGTAAATATCTATAATAAGCAATTGTGTTCGATCATCCCCTATAGCATGGTTAGTTGACACATGATACCGTGTATGTCTACAACAAACAGCAACATAAACAGGCCATAGAAATTGATCTCCATTATCGGTAGAATATGACTATGTTCAAATAGGCACCTAATCGGCAATTAAGAACCTTTTCACCAATTTAGGCCTTAATTGTTACCCAATTTATCATACAAAATGCCAGTTAATATTTAATTGGCAAGTAATTTGTGTCAGATTCTCTAAACAACCGTGCTAGGTATGTTTAATTTTGACTTGGAGGTATGTTTATTGAACAAAGATCAATCAGCTGGTTGTTTCTGATCCTATTTTACAGCTGATATTCCATCAGGGATGGAAATTCGAATTATAAAATTGTACCTAATTTACGGAAATCTTTACCTAAAAGTAGACAGATGTACCTAAAAAGTAAATATGTATTTCATATAAAAAAAATAGGATAATAACAATTCCCATCGATGCCATATCGACTTCTGTACTCACATTAAACAAATTTTTGCTATGAAAAGAATCTCTTTGAGCAGCGCGAGACAAAACTATGTTGGAGAAAAAGTGAATCACTTTTCTCTCGTGTTCGATCTGTCGCTTTAAAAATAAATATTTTCCGTCTATCTGGCGAAATCAACGACAGTTGCGTTACTTTGACCCCCCCCCTTATGTATCATTTGTATGCCTCTTCACAAAGGAGAGAAGCTATTAGGCCCGTTGCCTGCACCAGAAAATGCGTTGAAATGTCAATAAAAATAAGAACTGATTTCCTATTATTTGGCTACGTTCCAAATGTACCTAAAATTGTGTGTTGGTACCGAATGTACTTTTAAACTAAATAAAGGTACGATTGTGCCAACTTTTCCATCGCTGTAGGTAATCCAGCAGCTGATTTCGTATCGCAAATTGCGCAGCTGACGTTTGTGTGAACACCAAACTCAATGCCGCAATTTAAAGCTTAATTGCCCTGTTTGAACATAGTCTATCTCTTATTGTATACGCTTATCTTTTCTATTGGCGACGCGTTTCTTATGTTTCTCGTTCCCTACGATAAGAAACACGTTTCCAAATGTCTATGTATCTACGTACATATGTATGTATGTATGCAAATACATTTTTAAATTTAAATAGTTTTTTATTTGAAAGTAGACTATACCAAGGGATAATCACTTGCACAGAAATTATCGCTTGGCTTGGCTATTTGCTTGCAGCAGTGGAAGATTCAACAGGTGATGGACATGTATTTTAAGACTATTTGGTATTCAGTAAGCTGTCTCACGTCTCTAGTCTAAAAAAAAAAGTCACTAATTTGTCAGCGGGCTCTGAGCTGGTCACAAAAAGATGGAGGAAAAGATAATTGCTTTTTGTTTGATTAAAAAATATGTTCAACAACAATCTCATTAGAAAATAAAGCAAAAGTGCTATAATCTCATACAAATTCATTAACAAAAAATTATTATTTTGTTTATGTAAAAAAAATAAAAATAAAAAAATACTAAATACAAAAATAAAAAATCCCCTGCGCCTGACGAGGACTCGAACCCTGATCTCTCGGCCGACAGCCTAATGCTTTGACAACTCGGCCATTGCGACTCATGGAGCGGTGCGGGCAAAGGCATACACAAACGCTATCAGTTGACTGTCTGTGTTTGTTTTCACCACATATTTTTGGTGAAATTTTTGTGACTCTCTCCCTTGCATACCTAAATCATCTCAAGTCACAAAAATAGTCACTAATTGGTAGTCTCAAATTTAGTGACTTGAGATGAGACTGAATTACTGAATCCCAGAGCAAGATCTGCTTCATGTACAACCAAGAATGATAGAATACAAGATTGCGCCAATCGAGCTGAGAGCAACTGGCCGTGACGTCAAAAAATACCAGAATGAGAGAGCAAAGACGAATTCAATAAGAAAAAGAAGAAGAATCGAACATCTGGGGCGAAATTGAAAGGTTTGTTTACAAAGTGCATAATAAATCGCGGATTTGCGGAATTATTTAATTTTAAATGGTAAATTGGTTGTTTAAAAGTAAAGAATGTGNAATCGCTGAAACTGTTAAAACACTGCAATCATTATAATGATTTGCATTTTTTCAGTAATTGAACAAATACCAGCGGGCAGCCAGCGGGTCAGTTGCTGGTAACAATTTGCAGAACGATTCGGTGATCGTTGCATCGTCGTCAATTATTGAAATCAGTAACCAAGCTTTTAAAATAAATGAAAACCTCCTACTCCGCTATACATATAATTACTTTCATTATTTAGCTACTTTTCCGGCAGCCGCAACAAACGCTGGCCCAAGCCTGCAAATTGTTGCCAGCAACTGGAACGCTGGCTGCCCACTGGCACTTGTTCAACTACTTAAAAATTCACTTTGTAAACAAACCTTCGCACACATCAAACCACATCAAGCGGCTCATCTGGATGAAATGAAAAGGCTGTTAGATGTAATGCAGCAACGTGATCCCGATGTTCAACATCAGTTCAAAGAAAAGTCAAATGGGTTAGAAATGGCGCAGCTTATCATACGCCAGTTGTCGGATAAGGCCAATGTAAACCAAGGCGGCAATCGTATAGAGACCTTGACGTAGACGCAATTTATGTACGAGGAACAGATTAGAGACTTACAAGTAAGTTAGAAGTAGAAGTGCATTTGAAGATGTTTA